CTGGGCTTTCTATTACTACACCAGGTGGGTATCCAGGGGCCTTGTTAAGATGCCTGAATCTGAGAGCTCACACATCTGATCTAAAGGCTGCATATACACATTTACTATACAGACAGATATGCAGAGTCAAAATTATGTCAATCTCAATTGTCTATGTCCTTCCACCAAAAACGCCCAGGTTAGCTCTCCATATATTCTGAACGGGGGAGAAGCATAGATCCTCCATAATCTACTCCATAAAGGAATAGAAACTGCTTAGCTTAAGCACACGACGAAAATAGCTTCTACCAATACAGATGCCATAGTGAAACAAACTGAAGAACACAGATATTATTTTCTCCTTCTTTAAGAGACAAGGAGATGGTATTTAAAAAGCTGGATATAGGAAATCAGTAGCAAAGTCTTTACCACAACTGGATTCCTCCACCCTCTCCTTAGTGAATTAGTGAACTCAGGCTGATTTGGAAAGAACAGGTTACTGAGAAAACCCCACATGAACACAGATGTGCCCAGATTAATGTTTATATAATAAAAACACTTAAGTAACTTGGCTCACTTGACGAAGTTACTTTGCATGATCATCACAAGCAAGTTTTCTATTTCAGAATCCTCAGAGCAACAATTTAACTCCCTGGGGAAGAAGAAATCTGTATTTCTCTGGTGAGTCTGATTTCCGACATTCACTTTTCAACCAGTTATTTTAATATTAAGCAGTATTCTAAAGAAATGCTCAAAGACGTAAGTGGAATCTTAAATTAATTTCTCCATATGGATTCTGTGCACTTCAAACATCTCACAGATAACACCTCCCTTCAGGAAAATACATTCTGTTACAAATAGAAATTGCTTTTATCAGGTTCTAAAGGATATGGTCTCTATCTGCTTTTGACCTTAAGCAACTAAAATCTAGAGGGATTATTAGCACAACAAAGTGCCCAAATCCTTTCAGTTGCTAAGATGAATAGACATTGCAAACACTATATGGAAGATGTCCATTTTTTGACATCTCAGCAAACTAAGACCTCTGCTGAACATTCCTGTATAATCTAAATATTTCCCTTCTAGAAGAGGAAGGGACAAAGATCTCAGAGCACTCTGAAATAGTGTCCTTCAAATGCTGCATCTTCTAACTTGCTCTTAACTCAAGGTATGGAGCACTGGTTAGACCCTACAGCCCACAGTATATATAGAGCATTTTAAAAAGCCAAAAGCTTAGTACTCAAATGTTTTTTCTCCAATATCTACCTCTGTTAACCTCTTGTTCATAACAAAATGCTCCAGCAGCTAGCAAAGCCAGCAAATCCTCCCTCCTTTCATGCATGGCTTTCAGGAATGCTGCTATGTTGAAAAGGCAAAATTATCACTGCCCAACAGCACGCAATTCAACAGCAAAATCCCACTCAAAATGGGCTCACAGGAGAACAAATTTTGATGGATTTTCACAGACTTAGGTCAACTCCAAGGTGTATGAAGTGACACAATGCTATTCAAATATATCAGTAACCCAGTGTTCCTGTCCCATAGTCTATACCTGTTTGAATCTTGCCATAAAGGCTGAATGTTTTTAACTGGAAGAAATTAATAGCTTAGCTAAAAAAAATACGTAATAAGTCATTAAGCACTTTTCAGCTACCCTCAGGATACAAAACCCAAACTCAAGATAACCCAAATGCTACAAAAAATTGAAATATACACAACACTAAATTAGTTTCCCATTTCTAGAAGCACGAGCTTGCACTGTCTATTTGGTGTTTGCCTCAATTTGAGCACTTTCCTAAAACTGGACTTTTGCTGGCAGTCTTAAGCTGCTGTAAGTCTTGCAATACAAAGTTATATTGATTTCATCTTTTAAGAACACTTGCACTCCCTCCTAAGAATCAAAATAGTGCATTTTAACAATGAAACCACCAGATCTAATGACAGGTGATGCTGGAACGGCCTCTGTTGAGCCTTCTGCCACCACCTCCTGCCCCACGCTGCCTCTGCACCAGCTCCTGCAGCTAAGCTCTTAGTGCCAGCTAAGCTCCCAGTGAGGTCTCTTTGGGACCCAACCCTGCAGAAAACAAGCTTTGCAGGTGAAAAGCTTTCTGTGGGTTTAACTCCCTGAATGAGCTCACCATGAGCCAGGTGAGTGTCCCCTGCCAGGCTGTTATCATGGGTGCTGCTGCCCGGCAGCGGTGAGGAGGGGAACGAGACCGTCTGCTTGTGCCAACAGCCATCCATTAGCTCAGCCCAAGGAAAGGACATGGAATTCGAGTTGGCAAGTTCACATTGTTTACCACTTTTATTATCCTGTCATGCACTTGCTGGCCACTGCTGATCTTAAAAATTATTTAACTAAAAATATCTTAGTAATTCTAAGGTTTTTAAGTTATGAATATAGTATTCTAGCTTCTTTAAAAACCTCTTTGATTTAAGGCAGTAGTAAATTACGATTTAAACAATGTTCTTCAAATACCTCTAAGCAAATACTTAACGTCCCAGGTTTCTGTTTCTCCACAACAACATTTGTTAAATAAATTACAGAGGTCATTTCCATGGCTCAGGAGAATTTGACTAATATTATGATAAATATTCTTGGAGAATCTAATTTTATTTTTATAAGCAATTAAATAAGAATAACATGACTTTTATGGATGTCACCATCTTTGGTCTACATCCAAATACAGGTTAAAAATAGTAAGGACAGAGTTATATTAAACCAGGAAAGTACAAGGTGTTTTGATGCAATATTTGGTTTACATAAAATAGAAAAATACTTTTTCTAGCAGCTGTAAATTCAAACACCTAAGAGAAAATCACCAGAAAAACTGCTCCCCCATCTTATGAAGACACTGAAGAGCTGGTATTTATGTATTATGCAAGAAACTGATTCACGTGAAATTGTGCCTGAGATATCATTTTTAGTAGCAAAAAGTCACAAGCATGAGCACAGTAATAAAATTACAGAGAGAAAAAAAAATTTTGGTTAATCCAGGATTTAAATTGGTTACTAGTTATATTAACCTCTAATTTCAAGTGCAGACACAAGAATACATCCAAAATAACATCAGGTTTTTTCCTTACTATGCTCAAGATAGAACTATTTGACATACTTGAATTCTTTAGAAATCCAGAAAAAAAAATTAAAAAGGCAAAGTATTCTGATTACACCTTTAAGTCACTACTGTATCAAAGCAATTTTTTAATGGTTTCCTTTGTCTTACTGAGGCATCCCAGAATCCATCAGTTTACATTTATTTGTGGACCAAGAACAAACTAAGATTTGACAAGTTACTGTTCTTCTCCCTTCTCAATTATGCAAACATCATTCAAGCACTATCATTCCAGAACCAAAAAATACAGTCATCTTTTCACAACAGCAACCATCATCTCCCAGCATTCCAAAAGAAAAGACAAAGACATTAGACAACAGATTTGCAGCAACTCATCAGCAACAGATAAGACCTGTAAAGTAGCAGCACTAGTCATGCAAAACACCTGGTGCTGCAGGCTGGAAATAACACCATCAGCAAGAAAATTCTTGAGGGTATTTGTTGGTTATCTTAGATGCCATCTTGTATTTCCTATCAAAAGATAGAGTTTGTGTATGTATTTAAATATATATATATATATACACACATGTATATAATGCATGTATTATATATATATGTATTATATTTAAGTGTATATATAATTAACAGTTCCATGAACAGCTATGTCTCCCTTAAACAGAGCTGGATATAGACTTTTCAGGTGTTACTTCTCAAGCTGTAGCTAATTACAGCTGAGCACTCTGCCAAAGCAGCAGCTGACTCTTTAGGAAAGTAGTAATTGTAACGTGAAAATCAGAGTTGTACATGCTTCCTGTTTTTTGGTCATGGCCACTATTCCAAAGGCAAACCACACCCCCCACCCCTCCTCAAAATATACTAACATCTGGAATTCAACAGAAAAACCAACAATAAACAACCAAGGAACAAAGTAAAAAAATGATCCATAACAAAAACTGAAACCTGCACTGGTACTGTTGTTAGGTATTAGAACAAAAATTAAATAAAATTCAGTTCAGAAAATGTTTGTGGCTTATATTCCAGGCCTGCCTTACTTTATACTTGTCTATTAAAAAATTTGCTCTACAACCAAAAATTAATCAAAGTCCCTACTTACTATTAAAAACTCAACAACAATCTATGTCTCACAAAACTTAATTAGTGACTAAGTTTCTGCAGCCCTATTTTGACATCCTGGGGCAACTACGAAAAATAACCAAATAAAAGTAGTGACTTTATACACAGATTACCATACCTAAGAGTTGTTTGGCATATTAACCATCACACTGTTTCATGCTAAACATTCTAGTTAGAATGCAAGTGGCAGCACACCTGTATTAGTATTCTTTTGGTAAACCATGGTAGCACTTCACGTAACTAAAAGGAGCGATGGAAAACTTTAAGGGGAAAAGGGGAGCTAAGACAAGGCAACTGGCTGCCCTTGTAATCTGCAATCAACTTCAAGAGCTACTTCAGGTCATGAGAAATTTCAAAATGATAACTCTTTTATAGTTCTCTTCCCACGGTCCAAAAAAATACCACATGGAAAAGAAATACTCCATGAAAAAAGTACTCTTTCACTAGCTTTTATGCTAACTTGCACGTAATCCAAACAATGTAAAAGAGTATCAATCACTTTCCTATTTAGATGCCTTTTCAAAGTCATGCGAAAAGTCGTAAGAATGCTCAAACAACATATATCAGCTGTCTCACGTACTGTTTTTGGATACTGGTATCTGCAATCCCTTTACCGGATCTGGCATCACTGTCCAAGCTCATATGACTCAGACAAAAACAATGTGAAAGCGTAGTTTGTTTTCATGTTTAAAGTCACAACTGGTCTCCTGCAACAATAACAGGAAGAGCTGTAGGGATCGATACGCAAGATTACGAATAGGAGCTTTTCTTGTCCTACCCAACAACACGCACGTGGAACTTTCTTAGCCAGGTGTGGCATGCCACACTTACCAGATCTCTGTGAAGCACCCAGTTTGCATGGAGGTAATGGATTCCGTCGAGGATCTGGTAGAGTAGGGATTTAACCATAGATCTTGGCAACTGCATGGGCTTTTTATTTGCTTTTGAGGCACGGTGAAACTTGATAATATGCTAGAAATAAAACAAGTAGAAACATGAAGAAAGTTAGGTGATAGGTGAGAAGGTTGGGTGTTTTAGGGTATTTTAACTACTAACACTAAATAATGGAATGAAATACAAAGTTTGTTGAACTTTGGAATTAAAGTAATAGTGATGCATCCACAATTCTCTTAAATTGTTTTTATTCTCTGAGTTGCTTCAAAGAACAGCTGTGAAATTTTTGTGAATATCTAAATACTGGTTACTTACCTCCAGTAAAGGGCCTTAGACATTCTTCTTCCTCCCTCCTCCCCATGTGGCATCCTCTTACCCTTGGCAGCTAGAGCAGAATCAGGAGTATCTACTAGTAGTAGGGCCACACTCTAAGCTTTCATAGAGACTTTCCCTCCTCTTCAAAAACACCCAGGCTAGCATACTTGCATTACTACTATTACTACTATTACCCCCAAAACCAGAATCCCAGTAGACAGACTAAATAAATATTTTTATACATATTTGAAGGGGGGAAGGTATAACTTCAAAAACCCCACACCACAACATTTGGGTGAGATCATGTTCAGGCACCTAAAAGTGGTGGTGTTCATGCTTTCAAGTTACGGCTGCATACTTCACTGATGATGACAAGCTGGTGGCTCTTGGATTACAGAAGTCAATCTGCCCACTAGAGGACAAACACACCCTGAAAACATAGAATGCAGTAAAGGACCCCAGTACTAGTTGAAAGAATGAAAAAAACTATCGAAAGATTGGTGAGAGATCACGAAATAGTCAAAACAATTAATTCTAAGATCAATGTGGAGACAATGGGTTTGGTTTTGCTACACTGTACAAGAAATTAACTGGAGTCAGGCCATTCTACCTTTCCAATCCTCAGACAAGGTGGGGCTATGTAAGGCACAAATACAATCTTAATACATGTTCATTCAGATGGAAAAAAAAATCTTTTTGAAGGCAATTCAATTAAGTACCTCAAAAAACAAAACAGTTTTCAATTATGTGTCTTTTGAAAGGCAGAAATGGTAAAGGCAGTTTGCATTTTTACTGACAACAAATCAAAATGCTAGAGTAGGACTATTAATTATCCAATTTTTTTAATAGGATTTGTCTAGCTAAAGATCTTCTCCCTTCCCAGGTTAAAGAGGTAGCCAAAGGTTGTGCTTTTATCAGACCACTGCTCCACCATCCCCACTCCCCACCCAGTTTGTCACTAGAGCTCCCAATGAAAATGGTAATGAGTTAATGTTTACTCATGGTAAATGCTACTTCTTGCTGTCACCAGTACTTTAGCCACTATCAAACTGTACTTAGCAAAAGTGTAAACAATAGTGTTTAAAAAGAAATAAGGAAGGCAGAACACACCAAATAAATTAAAACAGCCTGCTCACTCCCTATCAACAATGTTCCCACAGAACCTTCCACTACTCAATGTACAGTATTTATAGCTTTGTACTAAAAGCAGTAGAAATTTACAGGATTGTCAGCTTTTAATATACTCATAAGGATCAATAGACAAGACAAGCTCTTAGTATCTGATCTTTTAGTTGTGTAATCACTCTGGAAACTGCAGTTAAATGCTTTAAGGGATTATTTCCTTAGAAAATTTTTTCTTGTGATGTCACAAGAAGACTGTCTCAGCTAGGAGTCCCTAGTACTACACAATGCTCACCAGACAGTGACCTTCATGTGTAATCACAATATGATTTATAAAGCAGTAATGATACCATAAACTCACAAATTAGTACATTTATTAATATAGGAGATGAAAAAAAAATACAGAGCAACCAACAGGCAAAGGTCATACACAGAGGCCCATAAATCCAGTCCAGTCCTTTTATAAGGTGTATGTAATCACTAGAAGGGATTTTTACACCTATCTAAAAACCAACTACTACCTACACAAAACATTACTCCTTAGGCACAGAGAAAATGAAGGAGTCTCATGAGGCAGAACGGGACACAACCACAGATGTGTTGAGGAGGAACAACACATGTGGCTCTGCCTCAGCTGCTACATCTGGTACCTCTGGAGGTCGGGAGTGAGACAGCACCAGGTTGATGCCATCGGATTTCTGTCCCTGCCCTCCCATGTGTCTCCCAGTTAGAAAGGCTAAGGAAACAAGCTCCTTTCTTGAAAGGGTTATTGAATTGCAGAAGCAAATTCGAACAGATAGTTTTGCTCGAAGCAAGCAATATCACCACTAGGTAAAATCCAATTTCCTGCAAAAGCAAATAAAACCTGTTGTTGCCAGCTTACTCTATGGAACTTTATATCCAAAAGATTGCAACCATCACAGTTTAGAGAACTGAACAAAAGCTAAAAATATACTGCAGGGCCAAGTAGTATAGAGAGCTGAAAAGCTAGATTTGCCCCGTGACGTTGGAATGAATGCACAGTGCTTGTGACCAAGCCCTATACTGAAAAGTTTTATAAAAAATAGTAGTTAATCCAATTTCTTGCAAGCAACTAGCCATATGAAGAAAGAACAACACACCTAGCATACACTAAACAGCAATTTTAATGGCCATGTCCATCTAAGAAATAGAAGAGCAAACAGGTGCTGTTGCTGAACAATATCTCTTCCACCAGAAGCAGCAAGCCTAAACTCTTTTATTACTTCATATTTTCAAAAATACATCTATATGGCCCTACTACTGTTTTGGGAAATTATACCTCAAATTAAATAAGCAAAAATATAGGTAAGAGCATCAAATCAGAAAACAATGGGACAAAAGTTTTGGTGACCCTGCAGATCAGGTGTACAGTGAGCTTCAAAGCAAAGGATGCCACAGCAGTACAACAATGCTAAAGGAACTTTTAACTTGAACAATTATGCTGACTTCAGCTATGGCAGGGAGATGTCCTCCTTCCACGTCCAAATATTCCATATTTAAGAGTCTAATTGCAAGACCTCAGGTGTAGAAATGGGCACAGATACTGACACAAATTAGGATATTCTTTACACATAAGTGCACTCTGCATGTAGAGGAGGCACAGCCTCACTACCTGAAGAGTCCCAAAGCGCAGCTTCAAGTACAGCATGTAACAGCCAGAACCTTAGACCTAATAAAGGCATGGAATAATTTACAGGAATTACAGCCTGCATTTCCCATTTCCCAGAAAATTAACCTAACCACTAGGCTTCAAAATTACACTTCTCTCATTCAATAAATCTTTTTGCTGAATAGCACAAAATTAAGGTTGTCCCGTGAATTGAGAGTATAAATCTGAACTGTGACAGGTACGAAGCATGTTCTACCTTCTCTCTCTAGGAAGCATGAGCTGCACTTGGACACTGCAGTTTCTAACCTTTAGGTATACTCAAGATCTTTGCTCAATCTTACCCCAGATGGATAGCCATGAAGGACAAAACATGAGGATTTTCACAATCCAGGCAAGTCAGAGGAATGTTTGTAACAAGACAATAAGCAGAGCATCAAAAAGCTTCAGCATTCCCCAGGTCTTTTCTCACTGCAACTCCTTAAAGATAACTCACATATCCTAAGAGATCACCTGGCCAAGAGAGCTGGAAAACACCCAGACTCATTCAGCAAAATTAATGAAGGAAGTTATTGTCAGTCCACACTATACCAGTTGCATGCTACTGAACAGAAACCCATCCACAATGTTATGCAGACATAAATTAATTTTAATTCGTTCATTAGAACACTGCAGATGCAAGCTCTCTTCTGATATATTTAAAACCTTTCAAAATAAAAGAAGAACACACATGTCATAAGAGGTAAACATAACTCCAAGGAATACTGGGGTCTATTCAGCAAAAGTAGCCATTTTCCCTTTCCGTGCATCCATATTTCTGATTCCTAAATCCTGAAAGCATGCTGCCACTGACTGGATCCCAAAAATGGTGTGAGCTAACTAGGTAATCACTATTAAATATAAATATAATATAAATTTTTTTACATTGCTTGTACATATTTTGTTTTTAATTTAAACAAGACAGAGACCTTGCAGAAGTGATTTTAAGTTTTCATTCTAAATTAAACTAACACTTCACTGACCAACATTAAAGTACACATTCAATAGCAGTCTAGGAAAGCAAGGAAGCTATAATTTGCTGTCTGCAATATCTGGGACTATAGGTTTTACTTACTAACTCCTTATTCCCAATTTTCAACTTCAAATAATGTAATAAAATTGCAAGGAAAACTGGATGAACCACATTATTTCAATAAGACCACTTTAGCTCTTGGAAAGGCAAGACTGTATAAATGATAACAAATTAAGAGGAGAAACAGAGCTAGATATTTGGAACTAAAATTATGAAACCATATTCAATCTAGGAGTTTGCCTGCCTTCTTCCATATTACCTAATGCATTGAAATTGGTTTGAAAGCTGGCTGGTGAAGGACTATGGGCATTTTCTAAATTCTCAACCACAAACAAGGCAAACATAATGCATAACAACACAGAACAAATTTAAATCCCTAGGATTTACCCAGCAGTTAAGTGAGCACTCAATAAAACCCAAATCTTAGTCTTCTTCCAAATCTGTTTGTGTCATCCCATTCCCAATTCCAAGAACTGCTGTTCAGTATGACAGAGGTTAAAACAAACAAACAAGTTAGATAAACTTTTGACAAAAGTAGGAAGCTGGCTAACAGAGGGATTTTATGCACATCTAACTCAATTTAGTTACAGTGTGCTCCCATCCAAACCTACATGAGATAATCCATAGACACAAGACTCTAGAAAACCTGACTCCTTGAGTTCTACTGCTTAAGGCAATGCTTGTTGAAAATCACATGCATCTCCATCAAACTGAATTGCAATCATGCCAACACAGATGCCTCTCCCTGCTGGAGCAAACTGCTTGCGCTCCCACGCTTCAGCAAAAACCCTGCATTTTATCCAATCCCTAATCCAGCCTTTGAGAACAAACCAAAATTATGGCAATGTGCCAATAAAAAGTGAACTTACATTGTCATATTGAGGACATGGAAACTTGGATACATGTTAATCTGTACTAAACCAAGAGGATTCATATTATACA